GGAATAGCCGCCTCACACTCACCGCGTAGTTGTCCCTGGCCTGTCTTGCTTCAGTGTCGCGGAGGTTGTACGGCATCACCCAGGCTCCCCCGAGTGTCGCCCCGACTGTCCATTTTCGCCGCAAGCTTCTTTTTGCATCTTGCCGTAGCCGCCTAGGGTATGTTACGTTCCGAAACCGCAGCACTGCTGTGTCGGCCGTGCAAGAAGAGGCCGCGACGCGTTCACCTGACACACAGACAGGCAGGGAAACGGCTGGTGCCTGACTGGCTGTGAGGTGATGAGCGTTGTCAGGCCTCTGTCTGTCTGTCTGTCTGTCTCTCCTCTGCAGCCTTGAGACGCCTTGTTGTGAATCCGCATGACAGATGGGTGCAATTCGTTCTGCCCATAACGGAATGACCAATTGCAAGGCAAACCGAGAAGGAAGTCTTCTTTAGGGATTACAGACTAAGTGCAAATTCGTAACATTATAATGACCATTCGCTGGCCTTGGGATCAGTCGTTTAGTGAGGTAGGAAGAGATCGGTTTCCAGGGGAATTAACGGAAAGCGCCTCGGCACGAAAGCGCATCGGCACGAGGAGTCCATCAAGAAGCTGTGGACGATGGGCGACAGCATGGGGGATGAGGCCGATTTGCGGCGAAAATTCCGTGTTCTTGAGAACGACAAAAGGGTAAGCTGCCTCTTCTAACATCTGACACTTCCCTCATTCTCCTTTTTGTTCCGAATCGACACAACGCAGGCGTATGGGGAAGAGGTCCAAATGCAAATCAGGAAGCAAAGGTAGAAGATGCGTCGGTTGAGCACAGCTGGCATTCGAGGATAAGCCGTTGTCGCTTCCACGCAGGGCTGCAGTGGACAAGCTGACGAGAGAGAACCGGAAGCTCAAAGTCGAATTGGTAGGTAGAAACAATGCCACAGAAACGAGAGAGCCGGGCCCCTTGCTTGCAGAACGAGCAACGTTCAGTCACAAATGCCAACCAGAACGTTCTTCTCGGAGGTCAGTGTGGATCCGTCACACGCCTTCGCCTACATTTCACTCTCATTTGCTGCAGAGAAGATGACTTCTCTCAACGAGGCTTGCGACACAACGCAGAAAAAGCTCGAGGCCGAGCTCCTGAAGAAGGTCGGCATAGCGGAGGACGCAGACTTGCTGCATTCAGAGAGGGCAGTGTGGATTTGTCTCTGTTCCATTAGCGAGAGATGACAACGAAAAAAACTACCCTCGACGAGCGCATCATGAGGACGCGCGAGAAAATGGGTAAAAGACACCACGAGCACATCATTTCCTTAAGATGCCCGAATCCTTTCCCATGCAGGCTCGATGGGAGGCGTCAATGCAGCAAGAGAGACAAATGAGGCCATCTCAAAACAGGTGAGGACCGGGCATTGCTCAGTACATGCAGCAATCATATGTTTCAGATTCGAGTGCTGGAAAATCGCCTGGACAAGGCACTCCAGAAGTTCAATGAGGCGGTCGCACACAACAAAAGCCTTCGAGAGTCCATCGATGGTAAGAGCGAGACGATGTGGTCCAGCCTGCATTTTTTCACCTCAAGCCAGGCCTTCGGAGGGAGCGCGTGGTTTTCGACAGGTCCGCAGCAGACATTAGCCATCTATACTAGAAAGAAGCGACCCTCTCTTGTGTCGCAGCATTTACAAGAAGCTCGAGCGGGACCTCCAGGAGAAGAAGAAAGAGATGGCCAACATTATCGAAGTCGCCAACGCGGCATACGAAGCGCGAGACCAAGCGCAGCAGCAGATGCATGCCCTCAAAGCCCAGGCAGACAAAGAACATCAGGAATTTGAGAAAGAATGGAAGGAGCTCGGACGGCTCATTGAGAACGATAAGAAGATGAAGGAGTATATGAAGCTCAAGGAGAAGGAACGAGAACAACAGATCCAAAAGGTAGGGCAAGATGGTCCTCCTTTGTGTGCGGATGTCCTGTCATGACACACACGCAGGGTGAGCTCAGCCTCGACGATGAGCAGAAAACGAAAAAGAGGGTAATCGAGGAACCGAGTGTTCGGCACAGCACGTTGATTGTTTTTCAAATAGGTGACGAAGAACGCCTGGGGCATCGTGAAGGACAAGGCGCAGCTGCAGCTTTCAGCCGAGAGGGTAAGAAAGTGAGAGTGCCAGGATAAGGAGCGCGACATTGCCGCCTATCTCCAGGTTACTGCCTACGAAGAGGCATTTGCGAAGATCCAAGCGGCAACGGGAATATCAGACATAGACGAGCTTGTACAGACTTTCATCAATGCGGAGGACCAGGTGGAGAGGAGGACGCCATGGGTAGTGTCTCGCTTTTGATCCTTCTTTGGACTATGTTCAGAATTTTAGCCTCTTCAACTACGCCAACGACCTCAGCGCCGACATCGAGAAGCTCGAAGCCCAAATATCTGCTCTAAGGGTATAGACGAGCTGTGATTGTATCAATGACCTCGTGTCGTGCATTATCTTCGACTGTGTGCACAGACTGAAATGGCTGACGTATCTGCATCGGCAGGGACCTCCTTAGTAGTGAGGTCGCCATCGCCAACGGATGCAATGGCGAGCGAGCAGGACAAAGCCCAGTTTTTTCAGGTAGCAGCGGGCCAGATATTTATCACATGCCTGTCCGGAACTGGGTCGTCTGCGCAGAAGTTGGAGGAGCGTTGGCAGCGCCTGGAGAAGAGGTGCGAGCACTATGAAATGAAATACCAACAAACACAGAGAATTCTTCGAAGCATCAAGGTCAGGAGAAAGGAGAGATGTAGTAGAGCACGATGAAACGACCTGCCTCGGCTCGTTGTACTGTTACGGTACCCATATAGGGTGGCTTGCAGAGTCTCGTCCAAAGGCTGCGTCTGACTGGGGTAGATTCATCCGCCGTCGCTGCGGCGGAAGAAGATGCCTCACGGATGGTTGAAACTGTCACTGAGGGCAACATGATGACAGTACGCTCACAACGAAACACTGTTGGCACGATTTCTTTTTTCCGACATTCGTTTGTCTTATTGTCTCTTGTTGTTTCTCAGTATTTGGGTTCGATTGAGCAGAGGACTCTTGAGCTTCTCAACTTGTACATGAGAGATGCTGGAGTGAGACAAAAGAACCAATGGCATTCATCTACATATACACGCATTCGTCCAACTGCATTGCCAAAACAGGAACTCCCTTCAGAGCCTCCTGGCGCGGCTGCAGGAGTTGACGTGCTTCAGCCTGCTATCAAGGGGGCGGCGCTTGGAGCTACTGCCTCTCAGCTTCAGATTCGCCTTCCATCCACAGTGGAGGACTACAGTGACGACAATGAGAGTGACGAGGACGAGGACAGACCCTATACCCGGGAGGAACTGAAGATCCGTGTCTCCCGTTCCTCTCGACGATCTGGACAGCGAGCAATCAGACCAAAGAAGTGAATCGGACTATGCACTCACGTTGCCTCTTCATGTTAATATGTCCCGCTTGACATCGATGCTCTCGTCATTAAAAAGTCCTTCTCCAATATATACACACAGGTGCTGTGACTACTTAACTCCCTCAGTGTACTCCTCTGTGGTTGCAACCAAAAAGAAACACGAGAGCTCGCTGTCAGGGAAGGGTCACTAGACGCGCCGCCGTGTATGGCACGTGGATTGATAAAAGCATCAGAGAATGAACAGACATCGGCCGAGACATGACTGATTTGTCCATTCATGCGGCAGCCAGACGGTCATCCGACCGTCATCGATGTCTTGATCGCTGTGTCGGTGTCTGCTTGTCTCATGCATGAGGCGTATACATCTGGCTGCAATCATGAAGACACCCATCCCCACACCTTTGCAAGGGTTCCCAGAGAGCTGGCGAAGGTGACAAATCGGGCTGGCAGTGAGGGAAAGCCCTTGTCGTATCGTCACGGTATTTTCCATCTTCTCCATTGACGCCACCTCTCGACCCGAGTGCACTAAGAATACGTGATGGTTCTTCCTTTCTAGTCTCGAAGGAATCCCGGCCGTTCATGTACATTATGTACATACATTACTTCGCTGTCGAAAAATCCTAGAGGCTTCGCGGCCAGAGGGCTCAAATGAGAGGGCTGAACGGCCAGTTTTGGTGAGGACATGTCATTCGACAGAGGGATTTATGAGAAAGTGTCTTTCTGTCGCTGCAGGGCTTGACGCAATATACAAATGACGTAATATCACCCCGTGCAAGCCTCCTCCCCTGATCGCGCATTTTTAAAACGTCCCAAATGTGCCGAGAAATGTAAAAAAAAGAGGAAAAATGCTATACAACCCGACAAACAAGGAACACATTTTAAAAGCCGCCAAAAAAGAGAGAAAATGTACAACTTTCTGGTCTCAACCCGTTGAATCACAGCTTCCTTGCCATGTTCTTCTCTCGCAAACCAATGTGTTTCATACATCGAACTGGAGAACACTCGTTTGTATTGACCACGCAGTCCATTTGCCCTCACACTTACACACATACACGCACGCACACATAAGACGGACATAAGATTACATACAACACATACATAATTCATACAGACAAAAAGCCAGACAGTGTCGGCAGAGACACCACATTCATTCACAGAGACAGACAGTCGGGGATGGTACGTATATCAACTATCAAATAATTAACCAATCAATCAATCAATCAACCAATCAATCAACTATTTTCCCGGTGATGTGCCGAGTGCTTTTTTCGCACCAGAAAGGAATAGCTGGCCATTTTCCCCGGGAGAAAACCCGAGGGGCGCCGCCCTCTCACACTCCCCCATCTCCTTCTTTAAGACGTCCCGAACCCCTCAAAAACATCGAAGGAGTAATTTTGAAAATTCGCAAATAAAAATAGAAAGGAGGAATGCTAAAATTGAAAATCTAAGGGAGGAGGCTTGCACGGGGTGCGTGAATATACCGCACGATCACATCCCATTGCAAACCCAATTTTTCATGACAGTCGTTTAGACCTCAAAAAGGTGTGGATTTCTACGACGGTGGGTGGAAAGGGAAGATTCGATTTCGTGCCATTCTCAGTGAAGGTGTCCTTGTGTGACTGCTTCAGTGGGTGTTTCGAGACAGAGACGGTAATTCATGGGGCTCATTCGCCCCCTCAAAAGCTTCAAAGCGGCAAGCCTCTTCAAGTCGGCTGCTGCTGGAACGGCGCTGCCGATCTCTGAAGTCTGGCGCAACGTTTGTGCTTCGTTTCAACAGCCTGGCTCGTTGCGCAGGCAGCTCAGCGCCGCAGCTGAAGCGGCAGGAGTTGCAGACGGAGTTGACCAGACGCAGATCGGCGACTGTCACTACTGTTTTGAGATGCAATCAGTTATACACACTAACATTCATCCATGTGTCCTGATGTTAGTGAGTATAACTACTACCTATTCATCTTCATCACACATAACATAGACAGATGATGATGTTGATAACTGTACAGACACTCGCTGTTGAGACACTGGTCTGTGTATTCATATGTTTATCGTACAAAGTTTGCAACTCATTCACTGTCCCTTCATGCATCCACCCATCCATCACCATCACCATCGCGTGGCCTGGGTGCACCGCTCGAGTGCCTTCTCCACAGCAGCTCGTGGAAATGATAGGCTCGTGAAAAGTGACGGCGGTGAACACAGGGGAATGTCTGCGAATGTCCACGGAATCAGTATCGGTATTTCGTGCTGTAGTCCTGGTGCACACAATACACGAGACCACAGCCGTGGAACAGAGGATGGATAGAATGCCCTTCCGTTCTGTGTGTACGGCAAGACGCCCGCGCTTTTACCTTGGGAGAGATGACTAAGCCCCTTCCTTTCTTGGCGCCACGATAGATAGTCTCAATAATATCCGTCAGCTCTTGTTTGTTGTTCATAGGCCAGTTGATTTTGTTGTTGTTGCCCGTGCCCAAGTCAATCATCATGTGCTTGTTCCTGAACGCACAGAACGCAGGCAGCGGTACCTGAATGATCGATCAGCGCTGACCCACTTACCTATAAAAGAACATGACCGTGACCGGGTCGTAGAGCTCGTACATTGTGTTGAAGTCAGGAACCTCACTGATGTCAACCTGACTCATACCCGACAGCTCTGCTGAATCCAGGCCATGCTCCCGTATTAACTGCCTTACCAGGTAGATGACCGCGTAGTTCTTCACGTCCTCGGCGATTTTGTATAGCATTTCGTCCATCTGCATGCACTGGGGGTCATGATCGTGCCCGAAGCGAACCACCACTACCCTCTCCTCTTCACTCAAGATGGCCTGGTCCTGAAACAGCGCACAGAAGGGTGCAGCAGTACAACGAAGACATCCGGAAAGAGTGGAGGTTGCGTGCGTACCACTGCCCAGCCTGAGTGAAGGTGAGATAGCATATACGACATCGTAAAAGCCCTGAGAGAAAGAAGGAGGTAGGACCGTTTCGCGCGCGGGAACGGGTGTTGTACCTGTGAAACAATACCACGCGGCCGTGGGTTTCGGTCTGGAGACCTCGTGAGTGTGTTCCTTGGGTTCCTCTGTGCATGTGGAGCGTCCTATTACTGTTGCCTGTTTTTCGTTTGATTCACGGTGTGATTAGGAGAGCCTTCGGGCCGCGACATTCGGTGAAACTCGGTGAAATCGCTTTCCTTCGCGCACCAGGAGGGAAAACATACATCAGTGACGAAAACATGACACGCTTGCACTGTTGCTCAACACGAGACCTTTTTGTTCATTATCTCACTTTGCCACGGCGATGCATCGCCACGGTGCCACAGATCAGATCTGAAGTGGATGTCGCGAATGCGCTCAGCAACCACAGGCAGAGTGAGCCCCGCGAGAATGATGACATCGTCAAGCATATCCACAACCTCGCGCTGAAGGGTGAAACGAACTACGGTCAGATGTCATAAGGGCAGCACAAATGACAGAGCTTTTCATGATTCATTCATTATTCAGGTGTTTGGCGTCGCAAGGCATCTCGCGTTCATGCCCTGTGTCCCAAGTTGAGCCCTCTGCAGCTCATTCAGATACTCGAGGATTTCGCCACCGTGCGCTACTTCGACCCCTCGGCAGTGCAGGCCCTGCTTCATGGGCTGGTCCAGCAGGAACCGTTCGACGCTTCCTCTCATGCTGTCCACGGGACAGGAAAGATCAGCTATGTGGACATCCAGGACATCTTGCGGCTCCTTGCTGCGCTGGCTGTCCTCAGAGATCAGCTGCAGGGCAAGGAGGATGCGGATGAAGGGCAGGCGACATACTTCGAGAGAGTGGTAGTGCCGTGGCTGGGATGGGTGCGGCAGCATGTGCTGGTCCCGAGAGTGAGGTACTTGAACGCAGTTGAGGCCATCCGGACAGGGGAAGCATTGGAGGAGCTGAGGGTAAGAAGAAACATACACTGCAGTGCTGGGCAGCCCTAGTGTTATGCATGCATGTTTTCAGGTGTGTGACCTTGATACGCTTCTCGCCCTCTTGGATCAAGTCGCACCTTTTCTCCACGCATCAGAAAGCAAAATCGACTTGGAGCACGTGCTAAGGGCCGTGCAACTTACAGAAAGGTATGGGAACGTGCCTTTGCTCCGTCCACACATGTGGTCTTCTGTTTCTTTGTTAAGGGTTCTCGCTCGGGGCACTGGTGAGATCCTCATTCAACGGCTGGTCGCCTCTCGCGCCCCTCGTGGCGCACCATGCGTGGCTCCGCACCCCACTTCACCATCGCCATCACTTACGCTTGGAGACGGTCTGCGTGGACGCCCGGGGAGCAAACCATCGGTGTATCTGTCTGACGAGAAGACTGCCGATTGGCTGTTGGGGACCCTGCTGCGAGCAGTCAAGCCGGTAGTAGAGAGGCAACAGGGTACTCTTGACACCCCATTCGCTGTGAAGTACGGAGACAAGCAGGATGCGTCAACTGGAATGAAGAGTGGGATTCTGCATGCATATCCTTAATGTCCAGGTTGCTGTTCACTTTGACGATGCTGCAGAATTGGCGTGCGTCGACTGATGTCCTCGGCCCTGCCATTCAGTCAAGTGGCGAGGATCCTCCGTCTAGCAAGAGGCCTCAGGACGCCCCAACCGCACGTTTTCATCCCCCCCCATCGCTCACAGCCCCCTTGCCGGGTCAGCAGGTGCCGAGACGCCAGATCAGGACCCCTTACAGGCAGGCCACGCGCGATAGACAAGAGCTGCCTGTCAAAGAAGAGTTTGGACGACTGCAGGCAACGCTTCTCGATAAGTGAGTCAATGAGCGTGTCCAGACAAACAGAGCTATGTCTTCAACGTGTGATATGTGTGTGCAGGATTGATGCGGAGAGTATGTGTAATGGTTTGGTGAATCCTGACGGTCTCCTCCAGCTGAGCCACATTTTGTCGCTGCTTGCGCAGACGCAGGGTGACGTACGGCGAGAAAAGATCGGCAGGTACATAGATCCGCTCTGCTGGGGTATCCTCAAGCAGCTCTCCCTCTTTGGATTCCCTCAACTACTCGCCGTCAGCAGGCCTGCATATACGGCCCTCTCGTTCACTTCGGCTCACTTTGGCTTTGACGTGCGGATGTCAGATGCTCGAGAACGTGGTGCGTCTTGACCGTTTACAACTGAAGCAGCCTGATGGATACCCACATCAGCAGTACTTTGTAGACCAGCTGCGATGCCAGGCGACTGGCCTACTAACAGGTAGACAAGCTGCAGTGTTAGTTATGTTGGGGATGGTAACTTTCCCTCTCTTGTTGTTTCCTCGATTAGGTGCCGAACCTGGTCTGGTGTGCCGCTTCTTCGCCGTTCTCTTGCCATTGCATCCATCCATAGCGCTGCCCCTCCTTTTCGATGGTGAGGTCATGCGGTGGTGATCTTTAAATTTGTCTCTTGACTGCGGTCCTTTTTCTTCTTTCAGCACACAACCACCTGTTGCGGGCACTAGCTGAACTGTCATCCCAGTCGCACACGTCGTCGATACCGGCCCTCACTGCCACGGCTGCTCCCTCATCGACCGCGCCCCCTCTTGTTCATGCGCTCAGGACATTACACACACTGTTCTGCTCGTCATCCGACAGTTTATTGCGAGGCTACGTGAATGCGAGCGGGCCCGATGTGCCTCGTGCCATGTATCTTGAGGCAGAGTATTGTCAGCGAGAGATCCTGAAGGGCATCGTGGATGATGTTAAGACAGCAGTAGAGTCGGTCTTGCACTAGCATCACGGAACGATGTCACACGGGGGGGGGGGG